TAAAAACAAAAAGGGGGGATTGTGATAGATTCATATTGTGTATTTGTTAATCAAACCGGTACGTTAGCTTTGTATAATACGCTGATTTTTGGAAACTGGTTTAACTGAAACCCTTGTAACCGGCTAAGTAAACAAGATGTGCAAGTCTTGATAGCCTTGTAAGGAAATACTTTAGGTTGAACAAGTACGTATGGTATGTAAGTAGTACGCATGCTCTAAAGGGAAAAGGTCACGACCTACAGCGCGGAGGAAGAATACTGCCTTCATCCACGATCACCAGAGAGCAAGGAAGAGACCCCCTAGCAAGAGGGAACAGAACCAAAGAAGAAATCGGAGAAAGCCACGTCAACCCGGAATTTAACCCAGAACTAAAGGACTATAAGAGGGCTCTAGCGGGGGTGAGATGCGCGCTGTTGGTGGAGCGGAGACTCCCCGGCCGCCCAGTGCTGTTTTGCCTGCTTATTGCTTGCTCAAATAACTTCTATTTGGATACTCTAAATTAGAGTGAACAATTTGTCACCGCTGTTTATAACACAGGAGACCAGGTTTATTGGAAAAAACTGCATGGATGCTTGTGGATTTCCACAAGACTGAAGTAAAACACTGGGACCAAAGAGATTTGCAAGTACCAAAAGCTGGAGCATCACCCGGCACTGCACAACACCAGGCTCAGTTTTTCACCCTTTCACCTATGTTGCAGCATTGGTACCTGTGATAAAGCTAACTTAGGACACGCTTTGCCAAGATGGTTCCTTGCTGCTTCTGTTTATCCTTTTCCCTCTGCTCAAAAGGCCAAAAGGTGAAAAACGCAAACGCATTTGGTATTATTTATCCAGCCCTTCGGCAGCACAGCCACCGCAGTTCGCACGCAAAGGCAGCGCCAGCTGTTAACAAAGGTATACAAGACAGTTTGTAAGGCAGTTCGACCTATCCAACTGTCTTCAAAACAGAGAAACAGCAATCTTTGAGGAGAAAGCGAAAAGAAAAGCAAAGCAACACACGTGCTGCTAGTCAGTGTTAAGATTTATTCTTATAGCTAGAGATTGTTTTCAAGCAGCACAATATTTTTTTCATTGTTTTCCAAGCAGCACAACATTTCACCTTAAAGTTTTTCCTGGAGACAGACTTGAGCAAATAAGCAATGCTTTAAAATGATGAAAGACTGGCATTAAGCTCCCGTAAGTACACTATTGGAGTTCAAGTTTTTACCATCTCCCAAGCAGAATGCAAGTTCCTCATGCTTGTTAATGCTCCTGTGTAGCTGCACTGCATCTTTGACTATATGCAGCATTAAAATGGCACGTATTTACATTCATTTCAAGTTATTTACACACAAACCCCGGGGATTTTTAAATTTTTTGTTACATTCATCTCTTCCTCTGCAAAATTCATTAAAAACAAACCACGTATCAAAAGTCTATTTTTTGTATTGTCCCCATTGTCTCAAACTCGTTACAGCATTTAATTTTTCATGCGAAAAAAGAAAACGTGGGACACTTGCTGGTCCAAAACTGGTTAAGGAAAGAGGGAAAAACCCAGTGGAAAACAACAGTATTTTGGGCACCTGCATTCAGGAAGAATCCTGAAATACATGAAAGTGAAGTTGCAAAAGAGGGGGCAAGCCTTAGTTTTTACCCTTCTTTTTAAAGCAAGACAAGGGAGTCAGTAAATATTTCAGCATTTAATTTCTTCTTAAACATGAGAAAATGAGAACTTTGATTTGATTTTTTATATAATCACAGCTGCTTTCCTAATGTCTTCTGTTTATGGTAACTAAGCGTTTTGTCCACATATTTTAGTGTTTATGTATGCACTTTCTCAAAATATTCTTTAGAAGCTTCTGGGCTTGGTTTGATCTGTCAAGAAAAGAAAGTTTAGTTATTATATGTATAACTGAGATTAAAAAAATGACAGACTTGATACTTTATCCAGGAAAATGCATGCATAGTTTATAAAGACAATAGGTTATTTCTGTTTCTGCACTTGGTTGAAAGATGAAAGCCTAAATGATGTACAAGCTCCTACTTGCAAATTTTAAGTATACAGCACATTTTTCCTGCTAAATGTCAAGTAGGGCATTACATAAGTATAAAATACAAAGACAACTGGTGGAGAGTGCAAGTCAAAGTTTAAAATACAGTTTTAAATACAATATGTGATTCTGCTAAAATAAAATCAGTGACTTTCTTCACAGAAATTGCACATTTAGTATCATACAAATAGACTGAATTGGTTTAACCAATAAAAAACTCAAACCATTCTACCATTTAGGCAACAGGCACAGATTCAGTCAAGCACCTCATGTTAAAGTGGTTCTCAGCCCTTCAGACATGCAAAAATATGCCAGTGTCTATATTTAGAAAAGTGATATTTAGCAGACGCTTACTGTAGGGGAGTCTGGAGTCCAGTTTGCCGGGCAAACCTCTCCGTGTGTTTCCACGTACTGGAATGCTTTCACCAAGCGGAGGGTCTCCTCCACACTACGACCGACGGGGAGATCATTGATACTTAGATGCTTGATGATCCCATTTGGATCAATGATGAAGAGACCTCTGTAATTGAGCAAGAATTTAGGGAATGCAAATCACAATCCAAGACTAAACACAAGAAACCGGATGAAATATTTCAGCAAGGCAGTTATTCTTAGATGTGTGTGTCAGAGTTAGGAGTAGCAATACAGTGTTTGATATATTGTTCGTTAGTGCAGTGATCATAAGCCAAGAACCAGTGAACTGGTATGGTATTGTGAAATTACAAAGTATGCATAAGATTATTAAATTGAGACAGATGTATAACAAAGGTAGAACTTCTCATTCCACCTATATTTCAAAGTTGACAGCTGGCATCCTTCTCACGTGTTTTTGATATGAAAATCCAAAGGTACTGAATGAAGAGTTGCTTACTAAATTAAATCCTATTGCATATAAACATTTGTGAAAGCCCAAGTCCCAGTCTTACAATATTAATTAATTTGTCTACAAACGTCAGAAGTTCCTGATCCAAAGAGATCAGGAACCGAAGCTCTCCAGAAGACTCCTACCCAATCCAATGGATCTCATGGACCACTATTTGCTTTTAATAAGTATTCTCATGGTGGAGAAGGAAACGTCAATTTTTTTAATTCTAGATAATTATGGGATTTACTGTAGTGGCCTCTAGGACTACTGCTTTAGAAACTTCTCACAGAGAAGGCAGTCTCTTCTCCCTTCAGAAGAAAGGAAAAAAGAAAAAAAAAAAAAGGGACAGACCTTAATTGTGAAAAAATGTAAAAAATTGTAAAATGCTCTTCTATCCTAGTCTTGTTTTCCTTAGTGACATGCGGTTCTCCCACTAATAGAATAGCTGGCTTCCCCCTGCATGCATTCCCAGAGGCCTGGAACCACTCTCAATTTAAATGCCATAATGGCCATGTGCCCTTTTCCTAAGGTGGGATCCAGCCAGAAGTTCTGCAGAAGAAGTAACATCTTACAGTCTTCACTTGGCCCTTGTGAAGTTTGCCCTGCAGAAGACAGTATGGCTCACGTTGTTTTAGATTGGGTTGTGTCATAACTGAGTTATCGGCAATAATGCATTACCTTAGTGCTATGCCAGGTCCTTCTAGCAGCACACCATAATCTCGGGAGATTTGTTTTGTGAGGTCCGACAGAACTGGAATATTCATTTTGCCCAAACCGCCACTCTAGAGAAAAAAGTAAGATTCCATTTTGTTACAAAATGCTTTTTAGGATTATTCCTCTTGAGTCACTGGATTTGGTGCTCTTGAAGGTATACTACCCACAAAACACATTCATGGGATGTGGTCCATGAAAGGAACCACAGAGGAATGGGGTGGTGGTGTTTGTTTGATTTTGGTTTGTTTGGGTTGTTGTTTTTCTTTTTAAAGTAGTCAGGAACATTTGGTTTCTTTGGAACATTAAAACTTCTTTTGCACTGACCATTTTAGAATTGCTTATTTTGGTGGTAAAAGGCTGCCTATGACAACAGTCATAGATTTTCAGAAAGATTTCCCTCGTACTCCATTCAGGAGCTTTGAGTACAAAAATTTATACTGCATATTTCAGTGTTCAAAATTAAACAAGATGAACATGGTGAGGAGAGAAGGGAAAACAAACGTGCATACTATGGACAGACAAAACACAAGGCTTCTCGCAGCCACGCTAGGTATATCCGAGTCCTGCTTTCTCTATTTAGTGCACGTATTTTATTTTTTTTCCTCCCCCAAATCAATTGAAATATTGTTTGGAGAGTCAACCAAGATTTCTTTCAGTTTTGCAACATACTGGAATTACAAGAGAGATAAGCTCCCTATCCTTGAAACAAGCCCGGAGTTTGTTAGCTTTTCTATTCCTGGCATCATCAGTGAATCATTGTGTAATCTCAGTCATTCAGACCCCGATCCTGCAAATGCTCGTCGGCAATGGAGCTCTCATACGCAGAGCTTTGAAGGCAGGTGTCGGAGAAAACAAGGCCTTAGCTTCTCTGGGTGTCAGTTTCCCATCTGCACCACCATGGAATTCTTTCCACCCTTCGCAGGGCGTTTTGCTACGTGTGCATCGAGCCGTGCCTGACTGGCATACTCCAAACAGCTTTTGCATGAAGCAGTGAAGTCAGTCCATAATCACATTTTGGAGCTTTGAGCAAAACATGCAGAAAATTAAATACTCGCAATAGGTTCAGCCACGCCGTATTAAATCTAGCAAACTCTGCTCCCTCCCCTCTATGTCACAAGGGCAAGAGCTACGGCACCTGGAGGCACCCCAGTCTGTGAGCTCCACTGCAGACTGCTGTCTGCACGACCACGTGGGTCATGACCGATGGCCCAGGAGCTTCTGCACCTTCCTGCGACACTTCTGATTCTCTACAACTAACCAAACCAGTCAGGTGCTTGATGTGATCAAAAGTGGGCATTTTCATATACATCTGAAAGAGGTTCCTCAGTAAAAGGCTGTCTTTACCGCTTTCTTTCCCTGAAGAAAGCTGAGGACCTCCATTTGTACTGCAGAAGTGGAACTATTTCAGCAAGTGAGAGTTAATAATATAAGTGTTCCAATAAGCTCATTGTTTTTCCGCTTCCATTCTGAAGCCACCGCTGCTTGGTACTGGTTAACAATAAGGACTAAACAGCTGCTGTTCATTTTCTGTGAGGGGCAACAAAAACCACCAGCTGTAAGGAGCAGCTTAGGACAGCGACATACATACTGAGTATTTGTCTTCTGAGATAAACGTAAGGATATGATGTAACCTACAAGACTATCACGAGAGCAAACAAAGATTTAAAAAAACTCAAATTATTAAGGAAAAGAGCAAGAAAACAAAGACTGAGGTTAGAATTATGTCATCAAATGTAGAAGTTAATCACTTCACATAGCACTTCAGGCAGTCTCTTGAAATCGGTGTTTGCACCGTTGCTTATTCAACTCTTCTTCTCAGCTCTTGTGAAAAGAAAACAAACAAACAAAAAAGGAAGCCCCAAACAGTTGCCCAATCCATACCTTTCGTGGGGTATTTATCCAGGCCAGATGACAAAAATGAGAATCCACAGAAACCGCCACTACTTCACAGTTCGCATCGTGAAATTCATTTGCTTTGTTGCTGAAGGCCACAATTTCTGTGGGGCAGACAAAGGTGCTGGGTGGGAAGAGAGAACAGGCTGTAATGATTCTGCAATCTTTTGAGAGAATTTTTTAGAAAACGCTTCTAGACACTAATGCAGCACATTATCTATACCCTGATAATTTTAACCATGTTTCCTGCTTAAGATTAGCTTCAGCCAGTCTCAAAGCAACAGCCATGGCCACCTAGCTGGAACATCAGTTTTCAACTCTCAGTTCTAGACAAACGTTTTGCGGAGATGGAGAAAGTGTCTCTGCCAGACACTCTCTACACAGAGTTTTTTGGAAACTCTAGGAGAAGGGACCGTGGGTTAAATTCTCCCCCACATGCCCATGTACACCAGGATGCTCTTGGCGATTCAAGTCTTCCGGACAGGCTCAGCCCCACCTGTCCACCTTTTGCTTTGGAGCCGTCTTGCAGCAGTTCTGCTGGCCCTGCTGCTCAAAAGGAGTCTCCAACATGACCCTGAACTGCAAAGCAACGCCCTCACCCCCGGGACCCGACTGTAAGAGGAATCACTCCTGCAAGGCCGCATCTGCCTCCTGGAGCCAGCCTGGCAGCTAGAAGATGCTCTCCGGCCACCAGAGCCATTGCTCTACTACACAATGGCCATTCGCCCCCATGTCTTATCACTCAGGCTCCAGAAACAGACACGTCTGCTGTGCAAGACTAGCCCGGATAAGGTAAAAACAGCCGCTTTAGGCAGCAAGGATCCGCGGCACTTCTGGTGACCTTCGGCAAGGCAGGAGGCCCATGTGACAGGAGAGAAACCCCGCACTCACAAGTCCAGCGGGTAGAAGAAGAGGACCAGGTATTTCCCCTTGAAATCATCCAGGCTCAGCTCCTTGAACTCTCCGTTGACGACGGCCGTCCCTTTAAAGAACGGGGCGTGCTGTGTCACCGCCGGAGCGAACCGTGAGGAGCCTGCGGGGGAGAAAACAGAGCTGTGGGCCGGGCCGGGCCTGGCCTCCTCCTCCTCCTCCTCCAGGCGGGCGCAGCCGCACGGCAGGCCGACGGTACCGCCGCCCGCGCCCGG